AGTTCTTGATTTTTGAAATCATGATGAACTACCAAAAAGCTATCTAAGATGATCTATCATAGAGTCATCTCGAAATCACAATTCTCTCTTGGTTACGTATCGTTAACCGAAATATAAATTAGGGAAAGCAAAATCTAACATATCAAATCATAGAATCTCATAATTTGTCTAGAAGTGTAGAAATGCTCCAAATCCGTATCCTTACCAAGTCCAAGGTTGCAAGGTCAAAGTTCCACCTATGATTGGTGCTTGAGATTTTAAGCAATTTTGACATCTGAAATTGTTCAAGATGCAACCAAGTTGCTAGTAAAAGATGAGTAGTATTCAGATGAGATGGAAAACGCTGATATATTTCCTCAGCAATCTTATGACATCCAACTCAAAGAAGTTGTGCAACCTCTGTTTGATCCAATGTACAACTCGTACTGAAACCAAATTGCCGCATTGCGGAATTCCCTTGATGAAAATCTTGCATATAACTTTATTTGACATTCCAAGTCATTTTTTGGAACGCCTATACTATTTGTCAAAAATTGAAAGGTCTCCCTTCGTATGTGAGTGGAATAAACTAATCACAATAAATAAGCTGTATCTATTGTGGCTTATTTCAAGAATTTTTTACTAACTGATCAATAAAAGATCCACACCAAGATTTATCTTGGTGAAAAATATTAGTAAAGTGAAAAGTACGCTGTGATTTTATCATCAATGGCTTTGTTTTTGCATGAAGATTGAATGTAATATTATTACCTTCAAATGGAGGTTAATTATATAGTATACGGAGGATGAATCAGCATGAACTATGGCCGAGTGGAGTGATTGACTTTGACTGGTCAAAATATTAGCCTCGGCTTCCATGCTGCATGGAACCTGCAGGATTATGGTAGACCGTATCCAACGAGCAATATGGAAGTTTTCTCACGAATCTAACTAAATCCGTTGAGTGTAACCTCGACGAGTAACGTAGACTGGACCCAGCAAGCAAGCAATATGGAAGTTTTCTCAAGAATCAAATTAAATCCGTTGATTGGGAAAAAAATGAATTAGACTGTATCCAACAATCAATACGGAAGTTTTCTCACGAGTCTAACTAAACCTGTTGAGTGTATCCTGGAGGATTAACGCAGACTGTATCCAGCAAGCAATGTCGAAGTTTTCTCAAGAATCAAACTAAATCCATCAAAAGTAGCTAATTTGCGGTGAGCGTGGATCGAACACGCGACCTTCAGATCTTCAGTCTGACGCTCTCCCAACTGAGCTATCCCCGCTGTGTGTGAATCAGAAGCAATGTAATTTGTATTCACATTTAAGAAACGAGAAAAATAGATGTACCATAGTAATGTAGATACAAATTTTGGCCTTGACAAGGCCTCCGATCTTCAGTGGATGGACGCACTGCGCATGTCCGACCGACCTCTGCAGTTATGTCCTATTTCTTCTTCTGAGCAGCTCAGACTTCAGAGGACGACCATCCATTTCAGTTGCCTCCGTGTCATCTCTGGTCACGCACGTGAATCTTGATGTGTGTTGTGATTCACAACCCATCAAGATTCTCGTGCGTGACCCAGAGATGTATCACAACTTGTGATACATTAAGTTATCAGTAAGTAAAACCCGCGAGAGTACTGGCCTTTGGAAAAGCCACTCCCAGCACTGCGCACTGGCAAAGAGAGTACCCGGATTTCATCTTCGACATCACCAACACCAATCTGAAGGCCAAATTTCTCGAATTTGTAAATATCAAAATTATCTTTTCTGCCTGATCGCGCTGTTCATGTCATGGCATGCTGATTTCAGGCAGAAATGAAGAAAAAAAACGAGGTACTTCCTATTGCATAGAAGACATTCGGAAAGCCTATCCTGCAATGTGCACGTACACACCTTCACTCGACAGGAGGTGCCCAGATTGCCGGAGCAAGCGGCCATCGAGGCCTTGGCGGAATGGGCCAGCCTAGAGCACCGATACGTACTCGGTGCTGGGTTATCGGCGTATAACCCATGTCGTGCTTGTGACAACAAGCGGGCATACACGCCGCTCGTGGAGCCGATCTCCCTCACACCAGGCTCTTGGGTCTGAACGTGAACCGCACCAGGCTCTACCAGCAAGGGTGCTTCGGAGGAGCCACAACTCTGCGGGTGGTCAAAGATCTGGCGGAGGACAAGGGCGCAAGAGTTCTCACCGTTGTGAGTGAGCTGACGTTCGGGACCTTTCATGCCGAAGAGCATCTCACCATTTTGGTGGATCGGCCATCTTCGGCGACAGAACTTTGGTCCTCATCATAGGATCCGAACCCGTATCCAAGGTGGAGAAGCCGCAATTCGAGATCCACTGGTCCCGCGAGACGATTCTGCCGGAGAGTGAGGGCGAAATCGAAGCCCTGATACTGATATTCCATTTGCATAGAGATGTTTCCGAATGGAATTTGAGAAACACTCCAGCCATCGAAGTGGCAGAATCCCCGAGCTAGAACGATCTGTCTTGGTGCGTGCACCCGGGAGGTCGTGCCATTCCAGACAAGTTGGCCAAAACACAGAGATTGAAGCCGGAGAAGCTGGATGTGGCAAGAGATGTCCTCTAGGACTATGGCAACATGTCAGCAGCTCGAGTGCTGTTCCTACTCAGATCATATGACGAGGCGATCGGCCGAGAAGTCTTTCAGCACCACTAGAAAAGGAAGCGATCGGGAGTTTTATTACGATTCGGAACAGGTCTGATCAATAAAGTCTCTGGTTTGAAAGCGATTGCCACCGGTCGGTGAACTTCTGAGTTCAGACAGATCAATCAGGAGCCTACCCCTGAAATTATAATCTTCTCGTCCGCAGTTATGAGAACACCATTGCGTTGCATGGTCAATACGCTTCGTGGTGACGCCTCAAAGAGTTTGAAGGCACGTGCAACCTGAAGCCATCATATCGCTCGTATGTGGTCACACACGAGGATTTTGTTGTCTTCTGAGAACGTAACGGAAACAAGCCATGAAGGTAGATCACAGCCCAAGACATCAATCGTTCTCTCACACCTTTGAGTTATTGTTGTTTCCACGGAGGAGCTGATCGAGAAGTGTATCTTATATCGACTGTACATAGAAAGCAAAGCTCCGTCAACTTGCAAACACTCCTATCTGAAGCCGTATTCAAAATTATCTTCTCAAATATGCAATCTTTTGGAGAACATGTCTATCTATAAATGTTCAAAATCAGATACATTATCACCTTAAATCATCATCATACAGCAATGTCGGATCTCCAGGTTGCAAATGATATACAAACTGCAATCGTGCTTATATGGAGTAGTCAGATGTTATCACAAGTTGATTTTCTCGTCATGAAAGCTTTAGAAAATATCATCATTACATAAATTGATGCATCATCCGAGTATCGTATTAATAGTATATAGTTATATTTTACACCGCATCTACTATATCTGATTTTTAATACTTTGAATATATTAGATGATATTAGAGATATGTCTCTTGATACTCTCTCGATCTAGCCCCTAATTTACGGTTGTATTGTGTCTTCTTGAGTTTGATGGGATATTCTCATTGTTCTTAATTTCCATGTCGCCATAGATGAAAAGTTTTGCGCGACCTTTTGGGCAAGAGATGTGAGACTCTTTTTTTACGAGTTGAATTCGCTTGGATTGAAAACCGCAATGGTCTCTCAAACTCCTGCAGTATAAGCGTGGGATTTCAGGTTTTTGTATTCCAAATATTGTAATTGTATATTCTATCTTTATATTTCTTTATACCATTCTGTTGCCTACGGTCTTGCCCAGTAAACAAGAGAAGTGCAAGGAAAGCAGAGAGCATATTCTAATCGTCTCCTTGTCATGATGCTCTTAGGCGTTCTCGAATTTGTTGACCGTGTAAGTCGGTCGGTAATGCACTCTTCATTGGATTCCATCGATCTTTGCGTGTAACCCTCTTTTTCAGTACAATGGTTCGATCAGAGTATCAAAATATGAAATGCCCAAGACATCTTTTGTCCAATGTTTGCAATGATAGTTTCTTCTTCAATTTATAGAAAACTGGAGTGTATAAAGGTGATCTAGGCATAATTCAATGGCCGAGATTGCCCAATAGGGTTATAGGATTGAGAAACGAACGAGAACGGCTCAGGAGCAATAAGTACGTACCGAGCTAAGAATTAGATGTAAGAAGTATCAGAGAAGTTTAATTGGGTCCTGAAGCCTTCTGTTGTTATATCACTAACTCGTGTTAGTGAAACTGAAATTTCCGAGCAAGAATCTACCATTTCTTTATAAGATCTATCCTGCTTGCCAATCACTAGAGGGGTAATTCTTGTTAAAACATACAAATGCAAAATTCGAACATGCAAATCAAGGTTTCTAATACTTCCTTCTTACGCATATCTGTGAGCTGGTGATATTATTACAAATACTGGGCTTCAGTCACCAGGTCATTTTGCCTTTGTTCAGTTTAAAATTCTGTTTTCTGCTCTGCTGAATTCAATAGTCTTTATAGACAACAGTAATAGTGCCATATGTGTTGAGATATACATACTAAAGTGAACGGAATAATAGAGTGAATGGAACGATGTAATTACTTGAACTCGAAATCAAGTTACTCGGGTTTGACTTTCGAAGGGAGAGTGATTACGTGAATATAGTACCAAGGAGTAAGGCTTCCGAACGCAAGACTTTTGAATTATCATTGGAGAACTCAAATAATAGAGAACACGAACTACCTTGCATTCGTAACCCGATGCAACCTCCTCCGTTGTACTATATGTCCCTAAACATTTTCTCTTTCGGGTGAAAGACAATGCGATATGAGTTTGTGAACAAATGAAAAATCGGAGCTTCACCCTGCTTCCTCATAGCAGGTCGACGACGAGTTGTGAACACATGCCTTCAGGAATTTCACAATATTATATTGAGTAATTATTGTATACTATGTCCTAGGTAATGCTTTCATCCCTTTCACCACTTCGTAAATCGATACTTTATCTATCAATAAATGATTATTATCGTTAGTAGTTTATTTCTTCCTGTAAGTAGAGATATATACAGTTCAAAAAGAAAGCCCCACACCCACTCCGCATCATTAACCTCCGCTGAAATCAAACATTAGTTTCAATTAGACAGTTAACGAGCAACAGACATAACAAAATCTCATTTCTACGATCCTCAAGTGTAAATGACAGTAGTGAAGCGCAAACCCAGCTCGAGGTCACGCTCTGCATTTCGTAACCAACTGTTAATGTAGTCCTCGTTCATTGTCTTCGTATGAAAGTTACACCTAACCAGAAAATCTGGGAAGAAAGCAAAACTCTACAATACTGCAGAAAGTATTATCCTGTGAGCATTCGTAACCTTCTGCCTTCTTCCCAAGATTTCAGGCAAGAAAAAAGCTCCCCCGTAAGCTTGTGACTATCTAGTCAGTCCGGAACTTTGGGAAGCTGCGCGGAGGTTAAGCCAAAGTGACATTTCTGCCTCAGTTCCACAGTTCCGCTTTCTTCCCAAGATTTCAGGTGAGATATAGATCCCTCCACGCATCCAAGATGATGTAGACCCGTTGAAGTGTCCATGATGTCATGCAATCCTCTAACCTGTGCACGTCTTCGCCCTTAGATACTTTTCTGCGTACAGAGCACAGCTCTAACTTATACAAGCTTCTAAAGAGTAAACACACTGCCGACTCCTCTATGCAACACGAAATCAACAGACACGTCAATTGCGGGTGCCCCGAGGTGAAGCCACATCATGCGGACTGACCACCCAAACGCAGGCACTCTGAATTTACTTCGGACAATAACAAATTACGAACTCCGCTTTGCCAAACTCCCGTATGCATCAAGAAACAAGATGAGAGTGAGATGCTCTCGTTCTACACAAGCGAAACGTGGAACGTCAGAGTGGCACTACATGGTACCAGCTCTGTTCTCTTTCCGGAATTAGTGAGCACAAACACACCTTCAGTCCAGAAACAATCAGCTTACAAACGTCTCGTGGACAATATGCAATGGGTCTTGACCAAAGCGTTTTCCGTAGTCATACCTTCCGAGATCAAGACCGTAAACAAGAAAGACAAGTTTCAACCGCATAGAAGCTGAAGCAGTGTCGACTAAAGATCGCACCACGAAATCAATCATATAACAAACAAGGCCATGGTCATCTACACCCAGACAGCAAGACCAAGCAATCGCACACGAAATCCTCGTCATGCAAAGATGACGAGCGAAACCTCAATTTCGGCTATGCTGCCAGGACGAGAAGAGATCGGCCGAGTCCGCATGTGATGGCAGACTCGACATTCAAGCAAGGCATCGAATTGCAGGGAGAGGCATCAGCACCGACTGCTTCGCAATTGAGCCCCCGACTTGCCATCTCCGATCCTCGCGTCCTCAGGGCGACCGCAAAGTCTCGACGGCGAAATAAGTCGCCGACTGCGGCATTGGCACTCCTCGCGCATCGCAGACGCAATATATACATCGCCACCGATCGACGACCACGGTAGGTAGCATCGAGTACTCAGTTAAGGGCAGAGGGTTACGCCGTCCGGACGAGGTTGACGGCGTACGGATAAAGTAGACCTCCGATTCCTCCCCTCGTTAAGTTCCCCAAGGTGAGGTGTTCTATCCCTCTGTGCACCGGACCCGATGTGTACAACCCAGCAGTCTGTAACAAAGTCTGATAATTGCCTGAAGAAAATACATATCTTCAATTACGTTAAAATATGGAAATGACGTTGGTACTAAAGCGTTTGAAATCAAATTACAAAATTTTGAAGAATTTAAGAAGTCTTAAATATTATATTTAAAAATTTTAGGCCAAAAAATGAAAATTTCCATATTACAAAAATAATCATATTGGCTTGATACCAAAGTGATATGAAGCACCGAAATTTTTTTTAACCCTAGCATTATTTACAGATCAAAAACATATATAATATCTTGAGTGTACTACTTGAAGAAAATCAAAAGTCATTAGAGATTTTCATACAAATCGGGTCAACTTTGTATTAAAATTATATTCCCGGCCAGCATTTGAATCACTAGAAATTCTCATAAGTAGAAGAAAATATCTCTATTCGGTGAACGAATTGTTCAACTTGCTATTTAATATATTTATAATTTATTTACTAATAATTTATTTTTCTATGGATAAAAGACATCTAGAAGAAAAATCATCTTAATTTCAGATGGAATATTTTTTTATTTTTTTAAGTACGCATCCTTACACGTCATATGGTGCGCAATAAAAGTAAAGTTTAATATATTTAATCCTTCTACTGATTATCGAACACAACACCATGATGGAATAAATGAACTACGTTGAAGTACAATATTTGCAGACATTATTCGTATGATTGCTTATTTGTGCCAGTAACCTATGGAAGTGAGAGAATCAAATCCTCATCTCCTGTGGTCCTCGTAATTTATCATCCGGCCCCACTTTAGCGCCAACGGACGGGCTGCTTGTGGCGTTTCCGAATTAACCTCTCCTTGCGAGGACCAGAGGCGAAAAGAAGAAGGCATCGGAGCTCTACTTTGGCTCTGTCGACGAGGTCGGTGCACGGGGAAGGTGTGAGGAATTTGATCGTTTATACGGTACGGTTCAAATGATATCTGACAGTCGTATCTAGCCAGCCCCACTTTCACAGCAAAAGGTAGCGGAAAGTGTATCCTTTCGATGAGCAGATTTGTATTCAAGAATCGAGATTCGAGATATATTTCATAGAAATGCATATTTTTTCATCTCTCGGCGAAGATACATTGTATACACGTCACGTTAAAAAGATATGTATATATATATATATAATTTTCTATATCCTAATCCTATTGCATGCCTATCCGAATTGCAATATATATTCAAAACAATAGAATGTTATCTACACAACAGCAAAGTGGATTTGAAACGGGATAAAATCCTCATGCAAGGAAAGTCGTGACCAGTTAACCAGCTGTGATATGAATTCTCACTTTCGCCTTCTGTAATGAGTTTTGAGATGGATTTTTCGGATATGCTCCTGGTTCGTCACTTTGCTTGAATGTTCGGTCACTTCCCCATGTACCAGAAGCTCTCACATGTTTGAGGTGTCCATATTATGAGTCATCTCGTAGGTTGCTCAAGAATTCGGGTCTCTTGTCCATTAAAAGAATATAGGCCTTTTGCTTCATATCGCATCCTTAGATCAAGCCAAAGTCAAGAACATGTACTATCACCTGACAAAAGGTTTTGTGATGTGAAATTATTTCGTTTTCATGATGACCAAACAATTTTTACAATCAATTTTATTGTATCCAGACTGCTTAAAAATATAAGGGAAAAGTTTTTACTATTTACTTTAGAATTTGCTACTTGCATTCAAAGAAATGAATATGTGATTATATATAATCAAAAATATTACAAATTTAATATAAATATATATATATGTTAATTGTACATGCATAAATTTACATATAATATCAATGAAAATTCTAATATTTTTAAATTAATTTGATAAAAAAACGTAATCTTGCTTTATATATAGTATTCTTTCCTTTGAAGAAATAATTCATTATAAGTTCACTCAAGATATACATCCATAATTTAGTATTAATTCTTGTTTTTCCCTGTAAGATTAATTTGTTTATGAGCGAAGTAGTATTAGAAGTAGCTGAGAAATTGATCTAGATAAGCTTAGATATAATTAAATTCAGCTAGTTATAACTATGTTTATCTAGTTATGATCATGTCTAGCTATGATATCTATATATGTGGCAGGATACTTAAAGAATATTTGAGTGACCACAACTATTTTTTTTTTATTTTAGTCTAGATTTCAAGTATGGAAAACTTTGATTACATGATTAGTTTTTAATTGGTTTGACTAAGTATTGGAAACTTCATGCTCAGGTTAATTCCGATCAAGCAATAACCTCATGTTTAGCTGTTTATAGCTAGGATTGATTGTCGGTGTTGGATACATATACCTTGATGCTTCTATGATGTACACATTGTTGTGATTTCACCTTGGTAGTAAAATCATTCGCGTGTATTACTTTGTGAACGTTGTCCTCAAAAGGAGGAACCACGTTACCACTGTGTGTTTTATGTTTTTCTACTATTAGCTTGTCTACTATGATGTCTGCCAAAGTCAACTGTCTGAAATTCCAAAATCAACTTCTTTTCACAAGGATATATAAAGATTTGGTCAAGTCCAAAAAACAAACTTTTGTGAGGCCAAACCAAGAATCCTTGTCTAAGGAGTTGATAGAAGGTCCCAAGTTTTTTTTTGAAGAGGTTGATTGTATCATGCTCAACACCTTATTTGGATTCCAACTCTTTGAGAATTTTGCCAAAATGTTTTGCTTTTTTCTTGAACCTATGTCAATGCCAAATTGCGAAGTTGTAGTAGGTTTATTCTTTGAAGAGGAGGTGATGACTCTACTCAACAGATTAGCAAATGGCAAATGTGAGAACTTATATGATTTGTTCGTTAAACCTCTTAAGTGGAAAGTAGATTATATTAGATCATTATCTCATCAAAGCCTTGAAATATGCTTCCATCTATGATATTTTCCTAATTTGATCACTATAGAAAATTGTTCCTATGCACAAATCAGGAAGGAAAGACGTGGTCACGAACTATCGCACTATCATGAAAAAGGTAGTGTTTTTGCCAAGTTGTTTGATAAGTTGGTGACATTAAAGCTAGGTACATGGACAGAGTGTTTTCAAAAGAGATCAATGATACAAGCTGGTTTTTGCCCAACATACAACACTGTTGATCATATTTTGGTCCTAAGAGTATTATGAGAAAAATTGAATAACAACGATAAAGCTTTATTTTGTGCCTGCATTGATTTCAAGAAAGCTTTTAACATTATTCCTTGTAAGCTTTTGTGGAAAAGTTTACAAGATATTGGAGTGCCACCTAATCTTCTTGGAGCAATGGTCACGTGATAAAGCTTTATTTTGTGCCTGCATTGATTTCAAGAAAGCTTTTAACATTATTCCTTGTAAGCTTTTGTGGAAAATTTTACAAGATATTGGAGTGCCACCTAATCTTCTTGGAGCAATGGTCACGTTATACAGTTCAGTTGAAGCCAAGATCAACGCTTCTCAACCAACTGAGATCTTGACTACCATCGGAGTTATCCAAGGTTGTCCTGGCTTTCCCACTTTATTATGGAATTTTCATAGATGATATAGAAAGGTGATCAGAGGAATGTAAGAATGAAGATGTCAAACTTAATGACTTTATCATTGAAGCTTGATTGTATGCAAATGATATCGTATTACTAGCATGTGATGTTATTAGTCTACAAAAACACCTTGATATTTTAGCAAGCTTCTGAACCCAAAATGAGATGGAGGTAACTTGGAGAAATAAAAAATCTTCATAGTTGGCACTAGATCTGAGTATTATTTTTGTTACTGAGATCTACAGTTGGAACAAGTGAAGAATTTTAGATACGCAGACCTTGATTATTTCCATAGTTGTTGGGCACATTGCGTGCAAAAAAAAAAGTAGAAGCTGTTAAAAAAAGCTCTTCATTCATTCTTAAATCGATGTAGAAGAACTCATCTTATGTCTTGGAAGCTTAGGTTAATTTTAAAAGTTTAGTGTTACCAGTGATTTTATACGTGATCCAAGTGTGAGGTCCTGGTTGTAAGAAGATAGGGTGGGAGCGCTTGAAGAAGGTTCAGAAGATATTTCTTCAAGAAGAGTTGGGGATGAGGAACAACACCTCATATGCTATTTAACTTGGGAAAACATGTCTATCTATTGAGGCTTAAGCTCTATACTTGATCATCACTTATATTGCTTGGGTTATATCTCTTGGTACTTCTTGACTTCCTCACCAAGCTTTACTAGAAACAGTCTTCGAAGGGTGGTATTCTGATCTGGTGACTTGATCCTCAAAGTGTAATGTGGAGGAAGAAGATTGGAAGTTGCAACCGATGGCACTTTGGCAACATTTATAAGATAAATATCACAACATTATTTGGAGCAAACCCACCTTCAAGTGGCATCGAGTGGATGATCTGTTCTGTGTTTTTGAGCCTTTTGACTCTTCGAGTTCCACGGGCTTGATCAATTACCATTACCATTTGTTACTATGATAAATTTTCAAGTAAATTATATAGAGAGGTAGAGAACATACTCTCAAGCAAGTTTTGAGAATCATTGTGTGGAGATTTATTTTATCAATTTGAGTTTCATTATTCTTTCGAGTATCAATGAATGTTT